TTTTTCTTGATTATTTCTTTTGAAAATTGTAATTTTAATATGGTGTGTGAATTTTTTTTAGATCAAATAAAAAAAATTTATACATTGTCAATGGAAGAACCATCATCGAATAATTCTACGAATAAAAAAACGGCAGTCAACAATAGTACAAACTGATTGCAAAATTTGTGGAACTCCTGCTAAATATTCATATTTTGGCGTAGTTTCATGTAGTACATGTAAGATGTTATTCAAACGAAATGCTGAACGTGAAAAAGTCAATTGAAAATATACATTTTTTTCTATTCATTATATTTACGCGTTTGTTTTTATTTTTAGGAAGTATTAAAATGCCGCTATGATGGTCATTGTGAAATAAATAATAAATAATCCTCATGTATGCTCTTATTGTCGACTGGTCAAATGTTTAAATAGTGGAATGCAAGTTGAATTGGTTCGACCTTCGTTTGCCAAAAGAAACAAACAACATCAACAACTTTACGTAGATTAAATGCACCTGAACAAGTAAGATTATTTGATTATCATATCTAAACACAGTCAGCGCCAAAAATTTGAACGAATTGATGCTTTTTCAATTTTTTCTTACGTTTATGTGCGAACTTGATTAAAATAATGATACGGATAATATGACGCGCCGGTTACATGATACACTATAATAGAAGAGAATTCTATCTGTCTATATAGTTTTTAATACTGAAAATAAGTTTTCCATGCAGCAAAACTAGATTTATATGCTATCCAGTATTTCGCGTTTTCTAACCCATCGATAGAGAATCTCATCTGTTGAATAAAATCAAGTGAACGAATGGTTTGAACTCGTTCAAAATGACATTTAAATCGAGACAAAAGGTTTTTTCCCAATACTTTCTTTTGAGTTTTCAGTAACATAAAACTTTCTAGAAACAGTTCTTTATATTATTAATAGTTTTCAGGATCATTCTATAGCATTTCACAACATATTATTATGGATATGAAAGGCATCTAATACCGGTTCAAATGTAATTTTCATGAAAACTAACTGGTCAAATAGATTTTTTTAAAGAATTTCATAAATTATCTATATTTTACAGATATGCTTCTGTCATTTAGCTTCCTACTTTGAATCTTTTACAATCAGATCAATCAACATTAACTGTTGATCAATGGAATCTACTCTCAAATCTATCAAATTGTTATGATGAATACAGTGGACTATTAATTGATGAACACTTCATGCTTGAACAAAGTGTTTTACCATTTAAATTTCGTTTTAAACAAGAACCAATACTGAACTTTGTTGGAATGGTATTAGATAAAAGTCAATCATTATATACAAACAATCAAAACTTTCTCTCCTTGTCTGAGGATGATCGTTCGCTTTTACTTCATAATTTATTTGATTGTCCTGCTTACTTCAATACTCTTGAAATGATTACTCATCCAAGTGTATTACCTGCTGCTAAACGTATAGCAAAGCGACTTGATTTTGATATGATCATAATGAAATTATTTCTTGCTATTCTTTCATTTTCAACAACTCGCTATACAGTCTATTCAAATACGTCTCTAGTTAATTGATCAAATATCAAACAAAATTCTACGCATTCAAGATACATATATTGACATAATATGACGATATTTACTTTATAAATATAATTTTGATTGTGCTGTTATATATTTATCAGATCTTATCAGAGGCTACTTTACTGTTTATGAAGCTGTTGTTAAAACACAAGAAGTTCAATGGCTTGCAGAAAAAATCTCATCGATTGTTATCCAAACCGAACAAACTCTTACTCATTATTAATAAAATGTTTTTGTTTTGTATTAACTGTATCAGTATGATGTTGACTGCTTATGTTTTAGGTTTTAATAAACACTAGATATTAAGATTAAAAAGATTTGAAAAATAAAGCTAAAGTCAAGATATTCTAGCACAGCTCTCTAATTTAAATTCTACAATTAAACATAAAGACAAAATCTTATTATTTATGATTTATATGTTATTGCATCTTCTAGAATGCAGATTGGAGTTTATTCTTACGAGTAAGATCTTTTCTTTATCTTTTCAGCACACTATGAGTTTCGAGCTGAACAAAAAAAAGTATTAAAATGGTTTCGTTCAAAATAATTATAAAATTGGCATCCAAGTAATTCGTTTCCAAATATCGCTTGAAACCAAATAAAGTATAAGTATGCATATATAGAGTTCTGGACAATCGTAGTCACCTTCCATGAAGTGCTATTATTCTTTATGATATTGAGCTGATATTTTGGGTGTATCCCTACGACGACAAAACCCTGATCATCAGTACCAAGCTGCTCTCTGTTGGTTCTCATGTACTGAAGTTATGATTGAGGAAACTTATTTTCCTTGTCAAAAACATATTCAGCGAAAATACGCCCATACAATGTATTATTTTGTTATTCCACAATCTATTACTATTTTTTTCTACCGCAAAAAGCAGCCTCCTATATCTTCTTTGTATTATCAAAGTCTGCGACATTTAGTTAAGGTTTTTGGTTATACCAGATGCCTATCGAACGCCATACAGCTGTCGCTCTTGAATCATCATCTATTTTTCTGTAATGAAAATATTATCATTAGCAACCAAATTTACATATAGACTAAGTTAATGTATAAAAAAAACGTAATTCATAATATTGACATAGCACTAAACATTCGTATTTCAAATTCATTCATAGTAATTGCAAATTATGATTCATATCATATTATGCGATTATATACACTTGTGTTGGTTATTGGCAATATCGATCATAATGAAAAATAAATAATTAATTATTGTGAAATTGCTTGTTTTCTATTATATGAACTTGATAATTATTGAAAAGAAGATTCTTTTTAACGATGATTTTAATTATACAGAAGATCATTGAAAGCTAACGATCTAGAAAACAGTAGTTTTAAACTATCCTATGATAATTTTTCAATTCAATACAGTGAATTATGTAAAGAATAATCATTTTTAACTGTAGCATGCACCAACATGAGGATCCATAAGTACAGTATATGAGATTTTTTTTTCTATTACTTATCACGGAGGCTGCTTTTTTATATGGTAAAAAGCATCGGTGGAAAAATTGATGAGAGGTGTTTTCACTTGTTACAGGAGAATTATTATACAGAACAGATAATTATTTTTGCGTGGGGTGTATCTTGTTATGTGTAATTCAAAGTTAATTATGAGTCATTCAAATATTCATTTCAAAAGTAGCAAATATCACATTGTGTTGTCCGTGGTGAAAACATGTTGAACTGTTCAACAAACTATTTTTGAGAAATATTATATCTTGCTTAAATTGTCTACCAATAATCAGTAGTCTCCATTGCAAACTTTTCAATTTAGCCTATAAAACGAGTGCTAAAATAACATATTATATTCAAATGTATATTTCATTTATACAATTTTATGATTTGGATTTTGAAACATCTAATTTATACGACTTATGGTTGTAGTCCTTGGATTTTCTCTACCTCGATACCAAATGCCTTCCATATTGACCATAATGCCTCAGTCATATACAATTCTGAACCCCAAGTACTTGTCGTTGCACCATTATCCTTTCCAACTGTATCCATTCTCCTTCATCAGAATCTTATGGCTAGATTGTTTATCATGTTCTCATTCGCTTCCATACTCTATTCTTTGGAGACTATTATAGGTTCCTTGAACCATCCTTTAATCATGCGATCTTCCTTGGATATCAACATCAACGGAAAATTTCTTAGAAAGTTTCTTTGTCAACTTCAACGCTTTGGTTTGGTTATGCATCTTAGTTTCCGACATGACAATTACATCATTTTCATTCGTAAAAGCAGAAAAGTCCAAGTCTCTTTAGGTGTATTGAACATCATGTAATATCTGAAGAAGTTATCTTATCTTTCTGAATCTTGATATCATTGTCACTTACTCTCTATCAAACAAATATTAGTATTGAAGAGAGTTTCTATAAGATCAAGCAATTACAAACAGAAGAGACACGACCTTCGGTTCGTAGAAGCTCGTTCACTTGATGGAAGAAGAGCATGCGCATGATGAAAGAACAAATAGTCATTGATTCATCGCCTGCGAGTTCATATCGAGTGTCTTGCATCATATACATACTCGTTTTCAGCATGAAACCATTCGAACTGTTATTGTAAGAAAAGGGATGAAATATTTGAACATAACTAGATATAAGACGAGGGTATGTCGTCGTGATCGAATTTATAGGTATCTTTTTCAAATTTCGATAAGATGGTCACTTACAAAATGCCTACTAATTATTAAGTGATATGAACAACTACGGTAATTTTTCTCATATTGATTTTATCTAGAAGAAATTTCAAGGCAAACAAGTATTATATCACATATTTTCTTATTATACTAGTCTATCTAGATGGAATTCTTTATTAAACTCGTCAATCCAAGAAAATAACTATGCTTAAGCATGTATGGTATATCTTGTGACATTCACAGCAAGAAAAGTTTATAAGAACGGATGTTAAGTTATTTGCTTCTAAATAGATTTTGTCTTAGTGAGATTAATTCGAAAGAAATACAAATGAATGAGAATTATAAATAAGAGAAAGTAGTTCTACCAAATAATAAAACATGTTATCTCATTGAAAATCAACTTATATATTTCCGTATACAGATGATTAAATGCTGCCTTCAAACAATCATCCTTGATGCACTCTAGAAAAATGAACGGTTCTGATAGATGAAGTCAGTCGGTCTTTCACATTATTTCGAAATAAATTTAACTGAACTGGTTTTTTTTTCGATCATTGCTCGACAGAGCAAGCAAAGTGAGTTGGCAATATTGATTATTTATTAAAGAATATTATAGCTTGCATGTCTGCAAAAGATTTACAACAATTAAGTGTTTCAATAAAAAGATTTTCAAAGTTCATGTAACTGAGGAAATTACAGATGAAAAGTGTTTGAGATGATACGCTTAAGTTCTTTACGAAAAGTTTTCGATATGAGTATATTGATGTAACAACCAATACTATTCTAAATGAAGAAGACAAAGTATGTTGTTTGAAGAATTGATTGTTCTATTATTTGTTGTTCTGCACTCTTATTTTCACGTTCCGTGCATTGTTGATAAATGTAAAAGATTGTTACTGGACATTTACAAATAATAAAAATAATGATGTTTACAAGTAACATTCGAATCATTTGTTGATCTTTAGACTGAAGAGCATAAGATCTACCAATCACTGTGGATCCAGTATATGTTGAATTAGAATGATGTCTTCCATGCCGTACTTGACGGATATTCTTCACTGTCCAAAAGGCAAATATTGTCATTAGTAATGGTGGAAGAGCACCATTGATAACAAGTGAATTATAAGACATAAATGTCATATATGTACCTGGTTGATAGAAACAAACAAGATAATTAGGTGCAAATTGTACAATTTCCATGAAGATCCACGCATGAATATGGAATAGCACCCAAAATAAACCTATACTAATCATACTTATAGTAGCCAAACGACGTGTACTATGTTTTCGTGTTCTAGCATTTGGTGAAGTGATTAATATCCGATCGATGGATGCCAAAATAAGACAAGATGATTCCCAACAAGCCAGAACCAAGGCAATATAATAGCGAAATCGACAGAATATGATATTGTTTGAGCTAGGATCAATATCGTAACCAGCTGCAAATGTTGTAAAAAGAAGACCCAAATAAAAATATAAGAAATTGATAATGTTGACAGATATAAAATAGATGGTACATGGATTTTTTCGTAGAGTATCTTTTGTGAATACCAGTAAATTTATTATACAACTGATACTACCAATAGCTATTAATAATGGACCACCAAATCGAAATAAATTCCGTTGAATAGTATACAACAATGTTGATGCCGACATTAAGAGAGAGTTTGAGAGTAGAACAGTAGAATGTAATTTGAAATAAAAATACCATGAATGTTATTGGCTTATATAAAACATCAAGGCCGATAATTAGAAGTATTATGAGGAAGATTTAACAAAAGATTATAATGAAGTTCAATGCTTCGACATATCACACATGAGGTATTTGAAAAGATCTACTGAAGTATATACCGGAAGGTACAAAAATAGCAGAATCTCTCTATAATATCAGTCGTGCTGGTTCTTTCAGAGTTCTAGGTTAAGTGTACTTATTTATTCTATTTCTCTAACATATCGACATTAATGCAACTTCTTCTATAAACATTGATTTCTGTGAAGATTTCTTATAGACGATGGTAAATTCAACAGATTTAGTTTTTATACATTCAGTATCATTCACAAACTGATTGATATAAGTATTTGATATTGAAGTAAGTCTTGCGCATGATCCAACATATTACTATTTAGAAATACTTTTCAATTATAAAATAGTTGACGTAATTGATTTCTTAATTTTTTGCTTCTCTCAGCAAGAAACGTTGTGCGTCATCGACCAAAATTAACAAAAACAGGGCAAATGCCAAAATAGCGAGATGGAGCTATCCTTCGTAATGCTGAAAGATTGTCTTTCTCTTTTCGCTTATAATTTATAAAAGACAACAAGAAGAGAATGAGAAAGAAAATAAATTTTGTGTTCCCGGCATGATAAAATATAATCTTTTGTCAATAAATACGCGGTGAAGTTGCTCAAAGAGTAGTCAAGTATAAAATTCGATGAATGTGATGATATTTCAGAGATCATACTGCCTTCTTGAAAATTTTATTTTGCAGAAATTCGCAATAAACCGAGTGGATGCGAGATATTGTAGTGACTAAAAACAGCCACTCTGGAGTACCTTTGTCTACTTTACTAGAAAACGATGAGCATTACCACAGCAATGTAAGCTAAAACAGTGGAGTATGGATGTGAGAGAAAAGAATACTAATACCCTCCTACACTCTCAAATCCACACCCACCATCTAGTAGATAATTGTAAAATTATTCTTCTATATTTCTAACACTTAAATATTAGCATTCAGGTACTTGTCAAATTAGGTCTGATACTTTCTATCCAATCATTTATATCTTACAGGAAGATAATAAGCTAAAACCATAAACAAGAGATAGATTGGATTAAAAATGACTAAACAATCATACAAAAAACAGTTGTTAGTACGAAAACTATATAAGAACAAAAACCACGGGCTTTCATGCTGAGCTTTTTTTCAAATATATTATTTTACACTTATTATAATTGAAGTTAATATTTACTAAAGATTAGTAATCTCAATAAATGAAGTCATCTTTTGAATTAATTCAAGGTATTGTTGTAATAATTCTGTTTGTTTTATTTGAATATGATTTGATATTCGTAGAATAACCTCTAATAGTTTCTCAATATATCCATGCATATTATTCAACAGTAACAAACAAAATTAATCAATATTTAATTGTTTTAGTTTTTCTTGAGAATCGTCAAATCATTCTTTAACATGTTAATATTTGTCAAATCCAATGTAAGTCATTAAAATGATTATCAAGAGATATTAAATAAGTGAACACATTTTCTCTAATTTCATCGATATCTGATCTTGTTTTTATTACATTTAGTTGTTATATTATAATAAAAATAAGACAATTTTCTCTGTCAATATTCTAAAAACCCGCCAAGCTAAAAAACTAAAACTTCTTGTTTAACAGTTTTTTCTCTTGATTGTACTTGACATTGAGTTACGTCTTATTTTGAATATTTCATTTGCGACGTAGGTTATCTTAGGTCAAGATTCGAGTTTTCCCGTCGCGATTCGCAATATGCCCGATTTCAACTCAGATCTCACTGGTTCCAATACAACTCGATGAGCTCTATCTAACGTACTACTTTTTTCCGGTAAAGACCTCTTTTTTTCGACAAAAAAACCGTGAAAAAATGGCCAAAAAGAACCAAAAACCGTCGCGATTCGCCCAGGGGCCGATTCCAAATAGAGCTGACGAGCTCTATCGAATGGACACCTTTTGAGCGCAAAGCAGTGCACCCAACCCTCGGAAACTGGGCCACAAGGGTCCAAACAAGGCTTTTTCGCGGAATATGTGGCACGATTCGCCCTACAACTGACTCTAACTAAACCAACATTGGTTCAGAGTAGCGATCAACGTCATCTTTCGAATGCATACAGCGTTCGCTCGATATTGGTAAAAGGTTGGTGAGAAAATCACTGACTTATGTGTGACTTAGAAATTTTTTTTCTTTTCTCCTCATATGTGTGATTAATACTCCACTCTGATAATATAATTACATCGAAAAGCAGCACCCTCTCTATTCGAATCGTTACGAAGCGGTAAAAAAATTTCTAAGTCACACATAAGTCAGTGAATGTTTTTAAACTCCTTTTTTTTTAAACAATAAATAAAAAATCAAAATAATAGAGATAATTTTATGACGATTGATGAATTTTTCTTCAAGTAGGCAATTGGTGTGTGTAAACAGAAATGATGAAGTATTGAGTTTATAATAATTTTGTTGAATGAAAGAAGAATGGAATTCAAAAACCTTAAAAGTCGAAATTAATGCAATTAAATCATGTCAAAAGGTGAAGCATTTTATCATTTTTTTCGTGACAAATATATTTATGTTTTTGATCATTTTTTCTTGTCGTCTTGATCAAATGATCATATATTGATTTTATGCCTGATCCATTCAAATGATTATTGAAAAAGGTTTCACTTTTTATTGCTGATAAGATTTTGGCCTATTTCGTACTCAGCTATTTTTTATTATATAGAGATGAACTAAAACTGGCTGATTCATCTAATCAACAAACAAAACTCTGATTAAAATTTTAAACTATTATTTTTTTTGTTAAATATGTGTTGTAAATTGTTTTGCATTTATGGTTTATTTTTTTCGAGCTTGTAATATAATAGATTCAATTTTTTTTTTATTCTTGACATAATATTCAATCTTTTTTTATTTTATATAATCTGCATGACCCAACATTACAGTATCATTTTTATTTCAATAATAATTTTTTTATATTAATCTCGGAAGAAGTGAAATTATCGTTTTGCTTTATATCAAGAAAATAGAATAAATCATCAGATATATATTTTTGAGAAATATGATACTAGAATAGGTCAACATGAAAAAAGTCAAAGGGCAGGTTCGATCCTGAACGTACTAGAATTTTGGAAGTAAGGTACCTAGAAGCACTGTGCAACGGTACCCAATTGAGTATCTGATTAGTACCTTGAAGTATCCATTTGCTAAACATTTTGTAGCAGGGTACCCGCCCAAGTACCTCATAAACACCTTAAAGTACCTGAAAGTACTTCAGTATCCCAAAGTTCCTGTGACATACTGGTAACAGGGTACTTTTTTGGGTACCCTTAACTCAGTACATTCTCTAGGGTATATAAATCCGAATTTATTAATGATTGTTCGGAGTGTTGTTTTAAATGAAAAAAATATTGAATTTTTCTCTCGTTGAAGAAATTGTGGGAGATTGATTTTCTAAATTAGGGATTCGTCATAAAAGTCATCATTCACTGATAGTATTATTATCGTTGAATGTAAATAGTACAAAATTGTTTTAGACATTCTGATGAGAAAATTAAAAAAGAAAAATTACTGAAATATTGGTAAAATATGAAATGATGACTATAAGGTAGTCGGGATATGGTCGATATGAATACGTAAAAGTTTCTATGTAGCTGATCTAGGGAAACAATAAGCACGAACGTCAAATAAATAAATAGTTTGTCCAAAATTGAATATGAAATTGAACAGAGAAAAAATAAACACAATAAAGTCACAAAAGTATTTTTAATCTTTCATTATAATTTTCTCGTGATAAGCGTCATCTGCTAGCAGATTTTTCCTCACTACGATAATACTTAATATCCGCCATTGACATCTAAATTGTATAGAAAGAAACTGATTTAATGAAGCTACTAAAAATCTATGAAGTCGAATGAAGATGGGTTGCATGCATTTATTTATTTGTTTTAGAAAATCGAATATGACAATCAGTTAAAAATTTATCCGGAATGAATGTTTAAAAAGAACGACCATGGTCAGATTTAGATATTCATAATATGAAAACAGAATGATAGAAGATATTTCTTCTATCTAACAGTCAATTTAGAACAATTTATAAAGTTCATTTTTTCAGGAATATTGACTTGAATAATATAGACATATGAAATAGTAATACTCTTGATTATGTATATCTGAACGAATTGCTCATAGCCATAATATGGGTTGGTGTTTATTGGCTGTTAATCGACCAGCATTGGTATAGTATGCGAACCAGGATCAACGTGAAGTAACAACTTTGGATGGTAAATAAAGACCAGTAGAATGTAATAAATGTGGCTCAGCTATGTTAAGAGGAATGGAAAAGTTTGCATCTGGGAAAATGTAATGCTTTCGGTCACGCCAATCCTGGTTCGATTTTCAAATTAGGGAATTAATACAGGATAACAACAAATGTATGGTTGAAGTATACCCATTGGTCCGCTTGGAATACAAGTATAATACCAGCAGTAGCAGATATACATTGTTTGATAAATGAGAAAACGTCGAATGTTGTGTAAGGAAGCTGTTGTTTGCGAATATTCGGCACACTGTGTAACTGAAGGCGGCCGTCGTCTAACTCGTTATTTATATACCTGTTTGTCAATATTGACTTCCGAGAAAATCATGCATGGTTTTTCCAACATAATTAATATCATCATCAATAGCACAGAAATAATTTGCAAATAATTATGCTTAGTTTAACAGTTTCATCACCTGCAATTATGAAAATATTTTTCCAAGATGTAAGTGATAAAAAAATATTCGTGACAGTCATCATATTATTTTGTCATGGCGTGAAAAATTCAATTGAAAAGTGGAAAAAACCAATATGAGCATACCGGTATGACTTGTTATTGCCAACCAATATCATTTCTCATCTAA